GCTAAACCAAAGAAACCTGACGCTTTGTACTATTGAAAACTTATCTGCAATAGTCAAAGATTCCCCTAAACTGGCTTTCCAATTTAAGGAAATTAAGTCTCTTTGTTGACACCAATTCTGCAGTAATCAGGCTGGTAATTAGTGACAAACTTAGCTTACATTCCTCTATTACCTCCATGAAAATTCAAACTTTATACACATTATGGGAGTGCTCAAAAATTTCAAAATAATCTAAAGTTGTAAACTCTTGAGAATCTGACCTCATTCAGTAAGTTTCTAATAGCTGGACATAGCAGCACAGACCTAAACTCCAGCATTGGGGGTTCGGGGTGGGGATAAGGCAGGAGGAGTTTAAGATCAGGGAGGCTATATAGAGAGAAGCCTTAAAAACAAACAAACAAACAAACAAAAAACCCCACACACATCTGGTTTATACAGCTGATTTCTTTGGCTATATTCTGAATATTGCTGCATTTCTCTTGTTAACTCCCTGTCCATAACACTATTCTTTTCCTTTCACCTACCTAATTTCTATTTCCTTAGAGGTTAGGTTCAAACCCCCATTTTTTCAAGAGCTAAGGAGCTTGTCTCTATTATAGTCCAGTTATCCTTTTCTACTCCCAAATGCACACACACTTTCATGTGGTCTTTGGTCTTAATACTGTTGATTACATGAGATGAGGACAATGCTCAAGTGCATTTTTCCTCCTTAGTCTCCTTTCAGGGCTAGCATAAGTCAGAGTACTAAAGTGTGTTTATAGTAGGCACTGAAAACATGTTATCTTAATTGATCCCAAAGAGCCCTAAGTTCAAAAATTCAGATTTGTAAGAGTCAATATCATGGTAATACTTCTGACTGTGAGCCATTCATTCATCTAACAATGAAGTTCTAGCTATGTAGAACAGTTAAGAACAAAAAGCAAAAAAGGAAGAAAAAAGACAAAGTAAAAAAACCAAGGATGGCAGATATAAAAATTTTGTTAAGCGTTATTGAAAAAATTTGGGGGGAATGAAAACTGGTATATATGGAATAACACCCTAACGTACTGTGACTTGGCCACAGGCATGGGGTGGGATGGGGTGAAATAATTTCTGCTTCGTTTTGAGACAAGGTCTCCCATAGCCCAGGCTGGCCTTGAACTCCTGATCTTTCTGCTTCAACTTCCTGTGTGGTAGGATTACAGGTTTAACCCAGCAGGATATTCATTTCTTCAAAATTGACAAAACAATGCATACATAACCTTTAGCTCTTTTTACACTGATAACTCTAGGCTGGTTTTGAAAATTTTCTGGGTAAGGAAAACACACGACTCTCACTACTAAAAATGCATCAAACTATCCAAATAAGCAAATACACTGTAAAATATTTATGACAAGGAAGCTCAGATAAACTAAGTGTGAGATCAACCTTAATTCTGATAAACATTCATTGACATTTTAGCAGTCAGATATGAAAGAGGAAAAAAAATCAATGAAAATAAAAGGAAAAGGCTGTGGAGGCAGATCAGTGGTAGAGCACTTGCCTAGTATGCACAAGGCCCTGCATTCAATTCTCTGCACAGCAAAAAGAGGAGGCATGGGATAGAGAACAGAGAAACTGAGACACTATGACTATCTGTAAGGCAACACCTCAAGAAACATTTTTAGGATCAGTACCACATTAATTAATTAATTAATTTTTCATTTATTTAGTGTGTGTATGTGGAGGCCAGAGGACAACTTTCAGACCCATGTGGGTCCCAGAGATCAATCGTAGGTTGTGAGACTTGGCAGCAATGCTATCAAGGTGAGTCATCTATCAGCATACCCCTACCTGCTTTTATACTGGGTCTCACTATGAAGCCCAGGCTGGCTTCGAACTCTCAATCTCCCTTTCCTAAGGCCCCGGGGTTCTGGGTCATAGGTATATCACTACTATATCTGGCTAAAATTACTTCCAAAAAAATTAATTAACAATTTGAACTCTGGAATTCTTTCTTGGGTTATGATGTCTTTAAAGATACCAAACTCTCTTTTTAAATACAGAGAATGGAGGTTAGCCCTCTATCTTCCTGAAAGTAATGCAAACAGGAGCTTTCCATTTCCCTTACTTATTGTCCAGCATTAAAAACTGTTTTAGATTTATTTTGAAAGATCATTGCTATTTAAGAAAATTAACTCGAGCTAGGGGGAAAAAAAAATAAAGAACTGCAAACGAGCTGATAGGGGAAATGTTTTAGTTAAGTTTCTCAAAGCAAATCAAGATTATTTAAGGGAACACTTAAAAGACAGGACAACAATGGAATATACTAGACTGAGCTACAGACAATGGGGTGGTTTGTGCCTATATATAATTATAATTTACATATTAACTTCTCTCTGAAAACCATGTGCTTTGCTGTCTCCTGAGCACATCCAATGATCCTCCAAGTTACTTAGAGTGAGATTCTGTACCTACTCATTGGCAAAATTCACTAAACACTGTATTGGTCATTTAGCTAAGATCACAGGATACAAACAATAGACAGTAGGTCCCTTTCTTCATCATGCTTACCTTAGGAATGACTATGTGAACAAAAAACTAAGATCACAACTCCAACAGAAATTGCATAGAATATTATAAGAATGTGTTACTTTCATGTGTCAGAAAGGCTTTGGAAAAAAAGCTGATATCTGAGCAGGTCTTAAACAGAAAAAAGTATTTCAAGAAAAGCAATTATTTGCATACTTAAGGTATGAAAACATTTATTAAGCATAGCAAGTAGTTTGCTTTACTGTATATTATACTTAACAATATGTGTTGTGCAAAGTTATTAGCTAAGAAAGCAACCTGGTTTATATAACTCAGTTCTGAAACAGAAAAAAAATCATGTAATATAGCAGAAAATGCTTCCTTTTTGTTGGCGATCATAATTTTAAACCTCTAGGAAAGAAAAGACTTTGTACATATTATTTGTTTCTTACCTCCTTCCCTCCTTCATGTTGGGGATGCGCATGCTAGGCAAGTGCTCTATCTGAGCTTTACACCTTTAAGCCCTTCTACTTCCATGCAAGGTTTTCTTTTCTCTGAGACAAGGTCTCGTGTAGCCAGGCTGGTTTCTAACTCACTATGTAGCTGAGGATGACCTTAAATTCCTGATCCTCCTGCTTCTACCCCAACCTCCAAAGTGCTGGAATTATAGGCATTTGCCACTATGTCCAGTCTTTCTACACAGTTTTTTAAAAATATTTTATTTTTATTTTATGTGTATGAGTGTATTGCCTACATGTATGTGCACCCGTGTTGTGCAATGCTGTGGTGGTCAGAAGAGGGCACTGGATTCCCCTGGAACTGGAGTTAAGGATGGTTGGTAGCTGCCATGTGGGTGCTGGGAATCGAACTCAGGTCCTCTGCAAGAGCAGTCAGTCAGTGCTCTTAACCGCTGAGCCATCTCTCCAGCCCTCTATACAGTTTTAATGTAAAGTCATGTTGCCTGAGGAAATCCGAATGAAAAAAATGTTGGGGCTGGGGGCATGGCTCAGTATGTAAAGTGCCTGCCACACAAACACAGGGACCCAAGCTCTGATTCCCAGCTCCTACTTAAAAAGCAGAATATAGCTGGGTGTGGTGGTACAGGCCTTTAATCCCAGCACTTGGGAGGCAGAGGCAGGTGGATCTCACTGAGATGAGGTCAACCTGGTCTACATAGCAAGTTGCAGGCCAAGTTGGGGAAACCTGTTTCAAAAACCAAACCAAACAAACAACAGCTGGGTATGGTGGTATATGTATACTGGGGAGGGAAGTGGAATGTGGGGAATGAAGGTTCCTGAAACTCACTGGCCAGTTGGCCTAGTAGAGCTGGTGAGCTTTAGGTTCAAAGAAACACCTTGAATCAGAAACATATGATGGACAGCAGTCAAGGAAAACACTTGACATCTGCCCTCTGGCCACCTTACATAAACATGTACAGTCAACATGAGACGGGGGGGGGGGGGGGGGGGGGGGGG